CATTCACACAGCAGATATTACTGAACACCTACTACATGTACAGTATACAGTAGGCCCTTGGAAGGACCAAGTTCAAGTCCTGGGATCCAATGGGAAGTTAAAGCAGTTACCACCTGTCCTCATAGGGCTTTCAGTCTAGTGGTGGGGACAATAGAACTACATCTGTGAGAAGTGCCATACAGGAGATATCAACAGTGTGGTAAGGAAGGCTTGTAAGTGGGGAATTTAACCTAGTTACAAAGTGACCTGGAGCTAGGAGCTGACAGTAAACTAGAATAGAGGAGACAGAATGTTCCAGCATATGCCAGCAGCAGCGTCTGCAAAACCCCTGTGGCAGAAGGGAGCGAGCTGGGGTGGCTGCAGCTGGGAACCACGGCCAGATGGGCAAGTAAGGGCACACATCAGCGGGGCTGTGCAGGCTGTTAAGGAGTGCTGGGGCTTTATACAAGGATTAGATTTGTATTTCACAAAGATGACTCCAGTTGCAAAGGGTAGCTAAATGCCGTGTCCCCAGCCCTGACAGAGCTGGGTTCCCTCCATTCCATTTCCCTCTTTGGATTCTGCTTGGGGCATTCTTAGCAGGGCTTGTTTCCACTTTTTGTCTCATATATATTTTGGCTGCAAGGGATATATGTGCATGTATCACGGTGTGTGAATGTGTTGCCACTGTATTGTTTATTCAATAAGTATTAAGTTATTAAGTGCCATTAGGAGCCACATACTGTTCCATTATCAGTATGGGCAACTAGCATCAGGGTAATTGTGTGTTCCTGTGTGTGACATTGGTATGTTATATCATTATGTGTGTGAATGTGTTGACCATGAGCTCTAAGTGACTGACCTGGTGGGTAGCTGGGTTTTTTGGTGTTTTTTTTTGTCCTCCTTCTTGGCAAGTAGCTGTGTTCTTGTATGGTTGTTGGTGTAAGTCTATTCTAGGTGTTATTATGTGTGACTGTCATTGTCAGTGTGGCGTGTAACACAATATGACAACATTGCGTGTAGCTGAGGGGTGGGTGGTTGCGTGTGTTGCTGTGCGATGTGCACGTGTGACTGTCGGTGTGTGGCATTTGTGCCCGACTGAGGGAGGCGTGGTTGGTGAGATGTGTCTGTGGGTGGTGTGGGAGAGCCTGTCTCTTGCTGTAAATCCAGAGGAGAAGAGTTTCCCCAAGCCTGTTGGCGGCGCTCTCCACAGCCCCAGGATGACTGATGTGGGGAGCAGAGCCTCAGCCTGGCGGCCCCAGCATGTTGGGGAGCAGGAGCCTCCCACTCTGCACCAGAGGGGAGAGGGGAGACAGGGCAACTGGGCAGGCCAGAGCTGGCCAGACAGGGCCACATTAATAAAGTGGGACCTGGGGGAGGGACGGCCAGGGTGGGCGGCTGTGGCAGGAGGCGGCAGAGATGAAAGTGGTCCGGCTGGCGGGCAGGCAGGTGGCCTCTCCCTGGCCCTGTCAGCACTTTTTAATGTCCCCTTGGTTAGAATGTGTGGGAGGAGTGGGGCGAGGGAAGCTGGAGCTCACCTTTCCCAGGCCCTGGAGGAGGGGGCTGGGTCAGCCACAAGAGGTGGGGTCTTTTTGGTGGGGTGGGAGGAATGCAGCTCATAGGTGTAACTGAGAAGAGCTGGCTCACACCCCTCCCGTCCTCACATTACCTTAGCTCAGTCTGTCCAAGGAGGCGGGGGTAGGGAAGCAATGGGAGAAATGGAAAAACAAAAAGGGAGATTGAAAGGGATGGCTGTGTGTATGCGTGTGTGTGCGTGTGTGCACGGGCATATACACGTGCAGGATACTGTCCAGGGCTGTGGGAATTTGAACCTGCATAAATAAATGCGTGCGAGGCGGAGTGCATAAGAACATGTGAGCAAGACCATGTGTGTTTGTGTTTGGCTCTCTGTGTGTGGGAATTTAAATTTTAGAACAGGGTTGGGTCCTGACTTGGCCTGTTGCTCATGGATGGCTTTGGGCAGGTCATTTAACCTCTCTGAGCTTCGTTGCTTCTATCTGTCTCACAGGATGACAGTGAGGCATAAGTAGTTGGAGTGACCAACTCTAAGTCTGTAATTGTGCAGACAACTGCACGATAATGGCATGTGGTCTGTGTTGGGTGACAGTGTGGGTATGTCCAGGGGCCTGACGGTCTTCGTGGGTCAGTCACAGTGGGTGTCTGGGCAAGAGAACAAGATGTTAGTGTGAGCTCTATCTGGGGTGAGTTGTGAGTGCACAGGTGTGTAGATGTGTATTTGGTAGTTGTATTGAAGTATATGAACATACTGGTTACTGGTATAGCTCTCGGGGTGGTGAGTGTCTTTGTGTGCTTGTGAATGTGCGTGTCCTTATCATTGTGTGTATCTGTTTGCACTAGAGCCCTTTAAGTCTCTCCGAGCACGTCTGAGTTGTTCTGGCGCCTGAGATGGAGTGTGTGTTGGCTGTGCGGGGGATGCGTGGGCACCGGTTGGTGTGTCTTTGTGCCTTGCGTGTGTCTCTCTGGCTGTGTGTCCCAACGCGATTGTGGCTGAACGTGCCTTTGTCTTGGTCGTGTGAGTGTGATGGCGGTGTGTGGTGGCTTGGTGTGGCTGCGTGTGACTGTGTGTGTGTGTGTGCGCGCGAGTGTGTGTTTGGTGAGCGGCTCTGCTGCCTTAAGCACCTTTCGAATACATTGGCCACAGCTCATTGAATCCTTTAACAATCTGACTCTGCTCTTCCTTCCCCGTTTTTTCTAATTCAGTTCCTCTTATTACAAAAATAAAAAATAAAGCGCTGCCCCTTTCCAGTGGCTGGCCCTGCGGAGCCCCCGCCTCGGGACCAGCCTCGTTTCACTCCATTTCGGAGAAAACGGGAAGTCGGTAATTTTAAAAAATATTTTCTACTTTATTTGGGATTTAATGTTCTTACAGAATCCTGCTGCCTCCCTCTGCCCCCCATCCACCCCCAGCCCTGCATGCAAGAGGTGTAATGGCCCGTTCAGCATATTAGGGGAGCCAAACGCGTGCGTGTGCGTGCACACTTGGATAAAAACACACAGAGACCCACAGCAGACACACATGCAAATACTCAGCGGCTTAAACGCAGACTCAGACATGGACTCAAGCACTCTACCCTTGTCCCAAAACACCACACAAAGGCAGAGACCCATTCCCAGGTACACAGCCACACTCTGAAGGGAAACTGAAGTGGGAGCACTGTCAGGGGAGACCTGGAGATGAGAAGGAGGCATCATTCAGAGATAGGAGGAAAGTGAGAGACACATTCACAGCGAGATACACTGGAAGCAACTTGTGTGCCATGACGGAGCGTGAGTAGAGCAGCCCAAGGGAACAAGAGAGTGTTTGATCATCCCTGGGCTAGGTGTCGCCCCTTTTTGTAGAAAGAAACACTTCGTAGTCAAGAAATGATTACTCAAGGTCATGCAGGGAGTTGAGACTGGATGTGGGAACAGAAATCAAGAATCCTGTGTCCTGCTATCAGGACCCCAGGGCAGTAAACCAAGTGTGTGTCTGTGTATATGTGTGTGTGTGTGTGTGTGTGTAAGATGTGCTGTTGACCAACACTAACTTAAGTGTGAGCCACATAATAGTATCAACAAATGTTTGCAGAGGCTGGCAGTGTCTCATATGGCTGTGCATGTCTGCAGGAGTGTTTTTGAGAACCTGCGTGTGCACGCACATGGGGACATCATAGTGTATATGTATAGAGAGAGGGAGAGGGAGTATGTGAGTCTATGCAGATATGTGTGGACATGTCTATGCATTGACTGTAAGGCCCATGGAGGCGGGAACCATGTCTGTCCTGTTCACCTCTGTATCCCCATCATCTAACAAAGGGCTTGGATAGTAGAGACTCAATAAATATATATTCGAGAATAAATGAATGCATGAACGGACTCCCTCTGGGATCTCAGCTATGGGAGGGCCTGGCCACCACTGGGAGAGACCATGAGCAGCCCAGCTTCTGGGCAGGAACTGGGAAGAGGGGAGATGGTGCGCCATGTGCCGGGGTGGTAACTAGCCGTCTTGTCCTGCCGCCATCTCTCTTGCTGTGAGGGGCCCTGTGGTCTGTGTTTTATCTAAGGTAATGAGTTTCATGAGTTATTTCAGACTATTCTGGGGCGGGGGGGGGGGGGGACAAAAGAGCTGTCCCTTTGTTAAACATGAGACAAATAAGGAAGCAAAGGGCAGTAGTGGACAGACACTCAAGACCAATGCACATACTGACTAAACATACAAACTGATGTACAGATTTATTTCCAGACAGACCAAAAGACAAATAGAGACACAGACAAATAGGTATATGGATAGACACACAGACTGACATGAATCAGCAGGCAGGCAGGCAGTCCTGCCGAATGACTGACAGATAGACCAACAGACAGGCAGACCAATCGATAGGCAGATGGATAGCTGATTGCACAGAAAAGATGGATGTGTGGCTCAGTATATGTAATGGAGCAGGCTTTATCAGTGGCTTCCTCAACAGCCATGCCTCACATTCCATCCTTCTTCTTTGCTAATGGAATTCACTTTTTCAAAATTTATTTTTAATTAAAAAAATTTTTTTTAGAGATGGGATCTCACCCTGTCAACCAAGCTGGAGTGCAGTGGCATGTTCATAGCTCACTGGAGCCTCAAACTGGGCTCAAGCAATCCTCTTGCCTCAGCTTCCATAGTAATTGGGACTACAGGTGTGTGCCACTGGCGCCCAGCAGGAACCCACTTTTGTTGGGTGTTTGAAGTCCAGATGCTTTGGGGAAAGTTGAATCTCTCCCTTGCCCAAGAGGTGAATCTTTTTTTTTTTTTTTTTTGAGACAAAGGACAAAGTCCTGCTCTGTTGCCCCAGCTAGAGTGCAGTTGGCATCATTATAGCGCACAGCAACCTCAAACTCCTAGGCTTAAGCGATCCTCTTGCCTCAACCTCCCTAGTAGCTGGGACTACAGGCATGCACCACCATGCCTGGCTATATTTTTTCATTTGGTAGAGATAGGGTCTCACTCTTGCTCAGGCTGGTTTCGAATTCCTGACCTCAAGCAGTCCTCCCACCTCAGCCTCCCAGAGACTCATTACAGGTGTGAGCCACCACACCTGGTGAATCTTAAATGGTCAAATGATAAAATTCTGACTATTGAAATGTGGGAGGTAGCCTGTTAATGAGCCTTTTGGGAAATTTTACCTCAGTGGTGCCCTTTCTCTCCTTCTGGATTTTGGACTTTGCTATGTGAAGATGTAATGTATTGGGTGGCTGCAGCCTTTTTAACACCCTGATATTCAGCCTGAGTTCAAAAGTTGACATGTCAAGGATGACAGAGGAGAGATGTGAGAAGAACCTAGATGCTGCTGATGCTACTTGACCACAGTAATCAGAGAGAAACAGATAAACTGAGGAGCTGACAGTTGGAAAGACGATCAGACTCAGAGACCCTGATGTGTATGTTTTCGCCTATTAAATACTTGCTTCTATTGACGATGTGATTGGTAAAAATATTCTCTATGTCTCTCTGTCTCTCCCTCCCTCCCTTCTCTCTCTTCCCCTTTCTCTTCCTTTCCCCCTCTCTTCCCCTTCTCCCTCTGCCCTGCTTTCTCTTTCTGCCCCCCCATCTCCACCTGCTTCTAAGAGTCCCCATACCCACAGCTCAGCTCTGCCTCCATAATAAGCCATGTCATTTGTGTGCCAGAGGCTGCTTCTAAGAAGGAGCTGGATTGGGATAGCGAGGTGCATGGGAACCCTGAGAAGGCAGAGACCTCCTTCCACCCCAACCCCACTCCTGTCAACCCTAAACAGTCTCTCCCCCAAACCCAGCAACTAACTCCTGACACTGCCCCCCACCCTCCAGCTGCCTTCCTGCCAAGATTCCAAGACCCTGGGAATCTTGAAGTAAGTCATTCCCTGAGACCTGTTTACTATCCAGGCTTGAGGGAAAGGCGCAGATTCAGGACTTGCTTTTTTTGTTGTGGGGCATAGAAACAGTGACAAATGTAAGTAGCAGCAAGGGAAGAGAGGTCCACCAAGCTCCCCCACCCAAAACTTGGTCCTCCCCATTTTTGTGTCGATCTCAGTTTTTGTCCACTTTTTGCACCTCCTCTGAGTTTCTTCAATGCAGCAAATAAATAGGAGCTCCCAGTACATACAAGGTCCTGCCTGGTGCATAGGACACAACTGGGAAATAAGTCCCTCTGTAGACTACCTTGGAGTAAATAAATAAATATTAAAAAATAAAAGAAAGAAACAAGTCCCTCTTTTGGAGTTATTTTTTCTTCTTCCCTTTATATGTACCTCTCTTCAGGTGTCTGTCTTTCTCTTAGTCAAATGATCAAGAACTATTCATCAGGTAGCCACTGTATGTTTGCATTTGGGCTCGCTTTCCTTCTCTAACTCTGCCCTCTCCCCACACCATCGGCACTACCTGCCCACACTTTCAGCGTCCAGCTCCCACTTACACTGCGGCAAGATGATTAGAGTCACGTACAGTAGAAACTTTCCAAGAACAGAGAACCCTGAGGGACTAATAACTCTGGTGGTTCACTTCTTCTCCAGGATAACCAGTTTGTCAGGGGACAGGGGAATGCAGGAGATGACTTCACAAGGATACAGGTAAAGGGTAACCTCCAAAGTGTTCCTCCTGGCTGTTAGAGCCTCCCTTACCCATCTTTGCCCCTCAACTCTAGCTGCTGATTATTCTTTCTGAAGCATTAGTCCAAGCCAGTGTCCCGCTGACAAATATGATTCAGTGTGGCATTCAGAGCTCTGCACAAAATGGCCTCAACTCACCCCTTCCAACTCCCCCACTCCCACCCACCGCAAGCCCTTCAGGCCTGGTTACCTTCCCTAACAGTTTCCTGCTTCTCCACTAACCACGTTTCATGTCTTTTGAGGCCACACTTAGAAGTTACTTGTCCAAGAAGCCTTCCCTGATGCCCCTAAAAGAGCTCAGAACCACAGGCACCAAACATACCCTATATACGTGTACACTGACCTGCCAACCAAGAATGTTGACATCACACCAAGAAGTCCTATGGCCATATCTTGTGCTTTCCACCCTGCTCTGGTCAGACTCCAGGCTCCTCCAGGCTCGTGGACAGCTCACCCCCAATACTCTTTTGTATTCTGGTTTCCACACTCTCTGGGGCCCCAAGCAGGCCCTGGTGTGTCCTTTGGTCCTGGTGTGTCTGCTCTCTCAACCTTCTCATTACCTGCCTACACAGTGACATCTTCCTCCCCTCCTCTGCCCTTCCTCTTCCTCTCCCTTACCTCCTTCTCCTCCCCTTCCTCAATATCAACAAGCTTCCTTGAGAGCCTACTCTGCCCCTACCACACCCAGAGCACAGACTCTGGAGCCAGACTGCCCAGGCTCTAATTCTTGCTCCACCTCTTCCTAGCAGTCGGGAAAAGTACTTAAAGTACTTTCTCATCTGTGAAATGAAGTTAATACTAGTACGTAGCTTGCAGGATTGTTGAGAGTATTGAGTTAGTATAAGTAGGGTGCTTCGAACAATCACTGGCATAAAGTCCATACTGTAAAAGTGAGAGTGACTGTTCTATTCTTCTGGTCTGGGATAAAGGATTCTCAAGTTTAGAGGAAGAGAGCTATCAGGTACTGAGTGGCCCCTATGTCGAGGGTCTTATATATGGTGTCTTAATTAAAAACAACACTTGTGAGAAGAGGTTGTCACCCCATCTCTTCCACAGTCAGGGAAAGGAAGGCTTCAGGTATGAAGTGACTCTCCTATGGTCTCATAGCCATTAAGTGGAAGATCCAGGAATTTAACTCAAATTCATTCGATTCCAAAACTGTACCTTTCCCAAGACACAATGATGTTTCTTTGATTTGAGGATTGGAGGTTAGGATTTGGAGATTGCAATGCAAGGATGTGAGGTCTGAGAGTGCTTGTGCTTTGGGTATCCGTATTATCTCAGCTGAAGGCAGGTTCAGTGTGAGGAACTTGTTTTCAGAGTGGTCACAGAGTGTGGACAGGGTGTTGAAGCCTCACTGCCATACATCCCTACTTTCTGAAATCAATGTTCTATCTAGCCTCACAGTCTGGTTTGGAGGTTACTGGGGGTGGGGGTCAGATGAGTACTGGAGAACAAAAAGAGTCACCAAATTGATGACTCACCTGGGGTTGGGAAGTCCAGGGCCACCTGTAGATGAATTATCTGGTTAGGAAGCCATGACCAGGTGGATCAATGGAGACAGAGGTTTTTTCGTTTATTGCCTCACATTGAAAGAGCTGCACCCCTGGGCTGGGGATCAAGGAGACTGCTGTCTTTTGTCCAGTTGTGCCCCAGCCCTGGATCACTGATTCCTCAGGGAACTCAGAGCCTACTTGGGGATACATCAGCACTGGGGACTTCCCTAGGAAGCAGATTTGGAGATAGAGATGAATGTGCAGGGAGCTCTTGGGATCAAAACTTGTGGAAGGGAGAGGAAGTAATTGGGATTGGGCCAAGGCCTACCCTTTGGGGCACTCTGGAACTGTAATGGCCTGTCAACTTTTTCTCAAGTTGTGGCCAGAGGACTCAGCTTTTATACTCCCACGGTGATGACCTGTGGGATGTGAGTAGCCCCAGGAGAAGCTGATGGCTGAGAGCTGTCTGCTATCACCCCCAGCACCTGGGGATAAGTCCTTCATTGATGGGACTCTGGGTGGCACATTATAGCATCCGCCACAAGTAACTACCCAAACTGGGGAGGACAGAGCAGTCAAAGAAAGGTTCAAGTATGAGACAATGCCTGGGCTGGGTTTAGAAGGATGAATAGGGGTTATACAGGCAAAAAACTGTCAGGGGTGGGGCCACATACAGGGAAAGGGACGTTTCTGGCAGAAGAAACAGGATGTACAAAAACCCAGAGGCAAAGATGACACAGGAGAGGAAGGCAGGGCCTGAAGTTCTGCTCTGCCACACTAAAGAATTTGAGTCTTTGTATTAAGGGGATGGGGAGCCCATAAAGGATTTTAGGACAATGTATTTCATAATTAAGGTTTGCATTTTAGAATAATCCTGACACTGCCACTTATTTGCTAACTGTGTTGCTAACAAATTACTTAACCCCTCTGTACCTTGATTTCCTTATCTGTAAAGTGGGAATAATAACAGTGCCTGCTGCATAGGGCTGTTGTAAGAATGAAATGAGATAGTATAGGTCAGGCTGGCATGCGCGGTAAGCCCTCAGGGAAGATTAGCTACTGTTATTTGCAATTACAGGCTGGATCAGGGTGGGAGGAAGCCAGTGGAAGGGGCAGTTAGGGGGCTTACAGCGGGGAGGAGATGACGAGGGCCGGTTTAAAAGCTTTTATGAGGTAAAACTCATAGGACTTAGTGATTGCTCGGGTGAAAAAGGTGACAAAAAAGATGGCATTCATATGACCCCCAGATTTCTGGTTTGGGTGACTTCTGGTGGGCATACACAGATTCGAGTCAGGGGGAAGTGGTTAATTCTTTGGGAATGAGTTGAAATTGAGATTCTTGAGGAACATGCAGCTGGAGATGCCAGTCTGTTGTTCTGAGCTGAGCTCTGAGAGAGGTCTGAAGGAAAAAAATAGTGCCAAGGTGGCCAGGAGTGCTCTGGGTCTGGCGGAGGTCCTGGGCAAGTGTGTGGGAAGGAAGAGTTATGGGCAGCCAATGGAGCTGTGGCAAACGCTGTCCTTAAAGGGGTGTGTAAGGGAGAGAAAAGAGACCCCAGGGAAGAGGGGAACAAGGAGATGCTGCTGGTGTGAAACTCAAGGGAAGGAGGAGACCCAAAGAGGCACTAGCCAGCCCAGCTCGGTACTACAGAGAGCAAGAAAAATAAAGGTGGCAGAGTCTGCCGAAGAAGGCAAGAGGTTCCTGGTGGTTGACTTTGAATGAGCACCTCATCGAAGTAGTCGGTGGAAAGCAGGCTATGATGATTTGAAGAATGAAGATGGGCTGAAGGTTGCCCATCCCTGAATGAACAGACACGTGGAGAGAGACATTCCCAGGAGACAATGCTGGGACCAGTCTGAGTGCCATCTTCCCAAATCACCTTTGCTTTTACTCCTTCTCCTGTTTCTGGCCATAGACTGCCTTGTGTCTATCATAGTCACTTCTGTGTCTCTGCCCTACCCCCTTTACCAGTCTGTAAGCAACTTCAAGGTAGGATCCTCATCCCCATTTGGGTCCATTTCTATGCCAGGAATGGTGCTGACTGGACCCGCAGGTGACCAGCCATTGCTTGTGGAGTGAATGAATGATCCGAATTGAGACCATGGAGCAAGTTTCCTGGTTTGCAGACTGGTCAGTCAGCAGAGAGGTAATGAAACTATGTTCTGGAGAAAGATGTGTAATAGGAGGAGGGATGGCTGAGAATATGGGAAGTGTGAATCAAGAAACTTAGAGAAAAATAAATACAACTGGCCTCTGAGCAGAATTCTTAACCTTTTTAGATGCTGGATCCCTTGGAGAGGCCAATCTAATGAACACTTGCTCCAGGAAAAAAAAACACGGTCTTACCCGCATGCATGCGATTTCATGGGCTTCTCAGAACCCCCGAGGCCCATCCATGGACCTGCCCAGTGGTTCATGGACTCCAAGAGTGTGCTTCTAACCGTGGAGTATTTACCAGTCCTGTGACCTCAGGTACATCACTTACACCCTCTGGGCCTCAAGTTCTTTATCTGTAAAGTGAGGCATCACGAGGTGAAGGTGGAGAGCATAAAGAAACTAACAACTTTGCCTGTCATCTGTGCAGTATTTTTTTTTTTTTTTTGAGACAGAGTCTCGCTTTGTTGTCCAGGCTAGAGTGAGTGCCGTGGCGTCAGCCTAGCTCACAGCAACCTCAAACTCCTGGGCTCCAGTGATCCTTCTGCCTCAGCCTCCCGAGTAGCTGGGACTACAGGCATGCGCCACTATGCCCGGCTAATTTTTTTATATATATATCAGTTGGCCAATTAATTTCTTTCTATTTATAGTAGAAACGGGGTCTCGCTCTTGCTCAGGCTGGTTTTGAACTCCTGACCTTGAGCAATCCGCCCGCCTCGGCCTCCCAAGAGCTAGGATTACAGGCGTGAGCCACAGCGCCCGGCCTCTGTGCAGTATTTTACATACCATAAAGGTTCTACCCTGTTAGTGGGTAGACTTTATCCCCATTGGAAAGTAGGGAAAGGGAGACTCAGTTCAAGAAACTTGACCAAGTGTACACATGAGTAAGTGAAAGGGCAAGATTCCACCCAGATCTCCCTGAATCCAAATCTTGGGAAGCTTTCCTGTGGACTGTGCCACCTACTGGGTATGACATTTTCCATGTCTGTCTGCCCACCCTGGCATGGCTAATGCACTGGTCGTGGACACGGAAACTATTTGGAGAATGGAAAGCACTTATGCAAATAGAAGGTACCACATTGATACCATCATTATTGATCACTTTATATCTTCAAATCCCTTCCTTGGGATCTGTTACATTCCTTCCCCTAACCTCAGGCTGCTCTTACTTTATTTCTGTCACCTGTTCCTCTTGTTCCTCTCATCTCCTGAGAGTAGGTTTTCTCTAATGCTTTTCTCTAAGTCCCCACCTCTTGCTTTCTGTTTTTTACTCTCTAAATGCCCTATTCCTACAACTTCAACCTTTGATTTCCAAGCAGGTGACTCTCAAATCTGTACTCTGGTGCAGAGCCTAATTTCAACAACCTGCTGGGAGTTTAGCACCTAAGTCAGTGGTTCTCAGGCTTTTTTGTACGTCACAATCACCTGGAGTGTTCATCAAAACCCAGATTGCTGGAGGCCACTCCTAGAGTTTCTGATTCAATAGGCCTGGGATGGGTCCAAAGAATATTTTTATAGTATTATTAAGACATAATTGACATATAATAAGCTGCACATCTATAAAATAAGCAATTTAATAAGTATTGACATAAATGCACCCATGAAACCACCACCACAATAAAGATTATGAACATTTCAACCACACTCCAAAATCTTCTTGTTCCCCTTTATAAGCTCTTCTTTCCTCTACTCAACATCCAACCCCATCCCCAGGCAACCTGTTTCTGTCACTGTAGTTTGCATTTTCTAGAATCTTATGTAAATGGAATCATATAATAAGTACTATTTATTGTTTCTGGCTTATTTCAGTCAGTACAGTTATTTTGAGATTCATCGATGTTGCATGTATCAATAGCTCACTCTTTTTAATTACTGAATAGTAATCTACTGTATGAATATACAACAATTTGTTTCCCTGTTCACCTTTGATGGACATTTAGTTGTTTCTAGTTTGAGGCTATTATAAATAAAGCTGCTAAGAAAATTTGTGTAAAAATCTTTGTACTTTTATTTTTCTCGGGAGGGGAATAGTTGGGTCTATGGTAAATGTGTGCTTAACTTTATGAGGAATTGCCAGAATATTTTCCAAATTGTGCCATTTTACACACCCACGAGCAATGTATGAAATTTTAATTGTTCCACATTCTTGCCATCATTTAGTATGGCCCATCTTCTTAATTTTAGCCATTCTAGTGGGGATGTAGTGGTATATCATTGTGGTTTTACTTTGCATTTTCTTAATGACTGGTGATGTTCAATAGCTTCTCAGGTGCTTATTTGTCATCCATTTATCTTCTTGGGTTAATAGTTCATATTTTTGCGTATTTTAAAAATTGGATTGTCGTTCTTACTATTCCCATGTGTCCATTACATATTCTAGAACACAAATGTTTTGTTTGATACATATTTTGCAAATAATTTCTCCCTGTATGTGACTTACCTTTTTATTTTTTTAAAACAATGTTTTTTGAAGAGCATTTTTAATTTGATTAAGTCCAATATATTGATTTTTTAATAGTTCATGCTTTTTGGGTCATATTTAAGAAATCTTTGCCAAACGTAAGTCGTTAAGATTTTCTTCTATGTTCTCTTACAGAAGTTTTATTGTTTTAGCTCTTATGTTAGGTCTAGGAAACTTTTCAGGTTGATTTTTATTAATGGTGTGAGGTAAGGGTTGAGGTATGTTTGTTTGCATATATCTATCCAATTGTTCCAACATCATTTGTGGAAAAGATTATCATTTCCTCAGTGAATTGCTTTGACACTTTCGCCAAGAATCAATTGACATTTATGTGTGGGTCTATTTCTAGACTCTGTATTCTACTCCATTGATGTGTTTGTCTATCTTTATACCGATACCATATTGCATTGCTGTGTCTTTATAAGTGTTGAAATCAGGCATCATAAGCTTTCTAACTTTGTTACTTTTCAAGGTTGTTTTGGCCATTCAAGAACTTTTCTTTTTTTAGAGACAGGATCTCCCTCTGTTGCTCAGGCTGGAGTACAGCAGCACAATCAAAGTTCACTGCAGCCTCCAACTTTTATACTTGAACAATCCTCCCACCTCACACTCACAAGTAAATGGGACTACAAGTGCATGCCACCATGCCCAGATAGTTTTTAAAATTTTTTTGTAGAGATGAGAGTCTCACTATGTTGCCCAGGCTGGTCTTGAACCCTTGACCTCAAGCAATTGTCCCACTTTAGCCTCCCAAAGTGCTAAGATTACATATGTGAGCCACTGAGCCCTGTTTTTATTTTAGGACTTTTGCATTTCCATATGCTTTTTAGAATTCATTTGTCAATTTATACATGTGAAACCCTGCTGAGATTTTGAGAATGCATTGACTCTCTAGATCAACTTGGAGATTATTGCCATCTTGACAATATTGAGTCTTCTAATGTATGAACATAACATTTATTTATTTGGGCCTTCTTTAATTTCTTTTAACAATGTTTTATGGTTTTTAGGGTATTGGTTTTATACATCTTTGTTCAAATTAATCCCTAATATTTAATATTTTTGATGCTGTTATAAATGGTATGTTTTTTAAATTTCTATTTAAAATTCTATTGTTTATTGCTAATATATAGATATACAATCTGTATTTGTAAAAACACAGATTGCTGGGCCCTAAATCATTTCTGATTCAGTAGGATTGGTATGTAGTCCACGAATTTGCATTTTTAACAAGTTCCTAGGAGACGTTGATGCTGTTTGGGGACCACACTTTAAGAACTATTGCCATAAGCATTCTGCCTGAACCTCTTATTCCAAACCAAGCTCATTGCCTATCTCCAAATAAGTTCTTCTTGTGATTTTCCTCTTTCCATAAATGGCTTCATCATTCAATTCCATGTGCATTGGTCAATTATCTGAAGTTTCCCATTGAAAAATCAACCTGTGATTTACTTTAACACCCTCACATCCTAATAACACACTCCTGAAACATGTCTCCCCTCTGTCCTCTTCACATCCTATTGCCATATCTTTATTTCTTCCCTCCTTGGCCGGTGAAATTGCCCTAACTGGTCTCTTTGCCTCTAATCTCTTTCTACTGCAATCTCTTTTCCACACTCCCAGACTAGTCCTTCTAGTTAACAATTTGGATTGTGTCTGTCTTCTGCTAAATAACCTACCACAGGGCTCTCACTGCCTACTGAGTTAAATCTGCACTCCTTACTCTGACGTTACAGGGACTTCCAGTTGCCTATTTAGTATCCATTCTCCCTTTCATCTTTGGTAATAGAACTCTTATCTTATCCAGGGGAGCAATATGCCCAGGTTTTTAAAAACTATATTTCTCAGTATCCTTTGCAGATAACTGCCCATGATTAAGTTCCAGCCAATAGGATATAAATATGAGTTGTTCGGTGCCTCTTCCTAGAGGATTCCATAAACGTTCCATAGATGGCAGATAGTTGGACAGATTGCCTGTCTTCCCTTCCTTCTTCCTCCGTGCTTGGTATGCTGGAGAACTTCCAGTTGGCATCTTGGACTACAAGACAACCTTAAAGATAGAAGCACTTGTTGAGGATAGAAGCATCCTGAGGTCCCTGGTCACATTAGAGGTGCCATACCAATCCCAGATTATCACACTCTAAATTTATTTTACTTAGAGAAAATTAAACCCTGTGTGTCTCACTACTGTAATTTGATTGCTTGTAGTCAAACCTAATCCTAACTGACATACCTAATATTCAAACAATCTCCTCTCATTCTACCCTCTAAAAATACACTATGTTCAACCAAACTGCACTATTTTTTGTTTTCTAAGGACAACTTGTACTTTTCTGTCTCTATTATTTTGCTCCTCTCCTGTCCTTTCTCCACATCTACCTATTGAAGTGAAACTCAGATGCCGTATCCTCCACGAATCCTTTCCTGATTCTTCTATTCAAATGTGATTTCACCCCTTTCTAAACTTAGAGTATTTTGATTGTACCCTTCTTGACACTTAGAGTCTGCCCAAATTGTCATGACTTAGATAC